GGCGGCGCGCACGGGCAAAGTTGCTTGTGCGCTGGGTTCCAGAGCTGCCTGTCTCACACACGTTTGCTGTTTTCCTCCTCAGAGTGCCATTAAGGGGAAATTGCAAGAATTAGGAGCTTATGTTGGTAAGTTGCTTTTTTGTTCTTAGGGTGAAAGAATTTAGTCTGCAGCTTACTGAATTTCAGGGAATGCATTTTCCATCATACTTTTGACATTGGAGAAACTCCTCCACCTTTTTTTTTTTTTTGGAGAGGTTTTTGCTATGGAGCCTGTGCGCTCGCCAGAGACAGAGACAGAAAGTGAGAAATCACCCTCCAGGGCGAATGGCCACGCCACAATTCCTTCTCCTACATTCTCCTCTCAGGATCTTGGGCACACATGCACACGCGCCCGGCGTGAGTTTTAAGCCACTGGGTTGGGGACTTGAACCGTGGTCGACTACATGGGAGTCCAGCGACATAGCCATTACACTAACTGCTGGTCCCGTCTTCCACCTTCTTTAAATCTGATACCCGCTGGTTTTTTTCTTTATCATCTTTTCATTGAAAGCATATACAACATTGCTTTTTCCTCCCCAAACTCCTTTCAATACGGTGTCTTGAAATTATTATTTTTTTAAGGTTCTGTTATTTTCCATAATGTTTGTCCGAATTTTATTTTTGTTCCTGTTCTTATTTTATTATTGACCTTTTATTTTCAGAACTATTACTATATCCTGTATTCATTGGATGTGAATGATGATTTCTTGTGTGTTTGCCTCTTATGATTCCCTGAGTTATGTTTTCAGATGTGTTCATTTTCTTATCTCTTTCTTATTTTTTTCATCATTTGAATGTTTACTCTGGCCAGTCCCTGGTCTTAACTGTTGTGTATGAATTAACTCATGGTAATCTTCTGGAGAATACTGGAAGCTAAGTGGTAGTGACCTTGATTGTACAAAGAAACAGGATTTGCTTACATGAGCAAAGTTTGACTCCAAAACTAATGCCTCCTTTAAAAATAACAGCTACTACTTCCTGCATTTCTCAAAGTATGGGAGACCCCCAAAGATCTTTGAAATCTAAACTGTTTTCATGTTAATAGGGAGAGAGGGCTTGCTACTTTCACGTGATTGATATTTGAATTGTAAAAAAAAAAAAAAAAGATGATACAACTGCTGGTACTTTAACCTGAAACACAGTCTACTAGAAAACATATTCAAATCACTTCCCACTTGGAATATCAAAAAAAAAAAAAAAAAGCAGTTTCCCTTGAGAATATTATTGATTCCCACACTGGGAGGAAAAAAAAAAATTGATTGGGACCAGCAGGTGTCATGGAGGTTAAGGAAGCTGAATCCCTTGTAACTGTTTGGATTGAGTCCTGAACCCAAGGACTTGAAAAGAATGCTGGGCACGTGTGCATGCATGCCAAAAATCCTGAGAGGAGAGTGTAGGAGAAGGGACTGTCAATGGTTACCTCCCTTAGGGGATGTTTTCTCTGTCTCTCATGTGAGCACACATTCCCTATAGCAACTTCAAATAAGAAAAAATGTAATTGGATGAACCAATACAATTTTTTTCAACTAGCCTTGGACTGCACCTTTTTACTGTTCTGTTGTGAAAATAGTGTGTTCATAAAGCACTTCTTGGAATACAAGAATATTATGATTGTTTTAAGGAAAATAATTGTGATCAAGTTGAAAACTGAACTAGCCACCTTTTTTGTGGAACATCGTTTTTTTTGCATTCTCGGGGTGAGGGGGAGAGAAAGTGAGAAATCACCTCCCAGAGGGGACATCTCCAGTCTCCTCTTTTTGGGCACATGTGCCCCATGTAATTCTCAAGCTGCCAAGTCTTGGACTCAAATCATTAAGCTGGCCATGAAGGATACGAGTCCTGGACCTGGCATCTTGAAATTCACACAAGGCACGTGTGTGTGCATGCCCAAAATCCTGGGAGTAGACTGGAGAAGGGATTTCAGCATGTCCATCCCTCTGAGGTGGGGTGGTGGTTTCTTACTTTTCTTCCCTCTCTCTTTCTGGCAAGTGCATGTGCCCTGTAACAAAGATCTTTAACAACAACAAAAAGAATTTCTGATGAAATCACTGGTGATATTAACAAATATAATTAATTATATTGTCTGAGTCGTATCCAAGTAACAGTGGTTTGCATAGCTCAGTGAACCAGCGATTTCCAAATGATCAGTGCATAAAGTTACACTAAAACTGCAGGATGTCTCAGTGAACGTTCATACAATAGTACTAGAAAGTCATTGATTTCATACTGATTTTGGATTCTACTCTGTTGCTAACATTTGTGGAACTATTACTTGCTGAGTTTCGGTGAAGTATCAGAAAAATACATTATCTAGAAAGGCTATTAAAATACTCTTTTCTAGTGACAGATCTGTGTGGGACCAGATTTTCTTCACATTTTTAATTAGAATGACATATCACAACAGATTAAATGCAGAAGTAGAAATTAGAATCAGGCTGTCTTTTGTTTTAGAAAGTTTAGTGTTTTTCTTTTTTTTTCTTCTAGATTTTTACCATAGGGCACTTATGCTCACCAGAGAGATATAGAGAGGGAAAGTGAGAAATCACTTTCATCCCCCTGGGGGGAATGGCCATGCCACAACCCCTTCTCCATTCTACTGGGATTTGGGGCATGCATGCACACCTGGTGTGATTTTCAAGCCGTCTAGTCCATGACTCAAACCTTGGTTGGCTATGTGGGAGTCCACTGCCTTATGTTACCTGCTGGCCCTGAAAGTTTAGTTATTTTTAAATTCTTTTTTTTTTTGAAGAGGTTTTTGTTATAGGGCATGTGGGCTTTCCAGAAAGACGGAGAGAAGCAGAGAGACAGAAAGTGAGAAATCACCCCCCGAGGAGGGTTGGCCATGCTGCAATTCCTTCTCCTTTATTCTCTTCTCAGGATCTCAGGCACGCATGTACACATGCCCGGCGTGAATTTAAGCTACTAGGTCCAGGATTTGAACCACAGTCGACTACATGGGAGCTCAGCGACATAGCCATTACTCCAACTGCTGGTCCCAAGTTTAGTTATTTTAATAAAAACATTATCTATGTTACCGTAGTTGGGTGTGCTGCTAACATGTGATGGATATGTTATTTTTAGGTAAATTAATAACTATTTTGAAAAGGTCTTAGTTTTCCTCCATGACTTCTTTCTGCTCCTGTGAGTAACTTGGTTCTAGGGGATCGGCTCATCTGCCCCCATGTGCCGCCCACCCCCTGGGACCGCCCGGGCCTCTGCTGCAAGCTGATCCCTTCTGACAGCCTGGATGCCTTTCCCCATTCACCCTCACTGAAGAAAGTTAAGTTTGGAAAGGTGGGGAGAGGCAAACACAGACTTTAGCTCCACCTGAAGCTGAAGAACTGGATCCTGGCAGCTATTGGAGAACTTTTTGTACAATGCAGATCAAGTGATGGGAAAATCGAGTGCTTAATAGCATTGCTTAAATTTGTGAATTTAAGGTTCATTAGTTTAATAAAGGTAGGCTTGATTTCAGATTCAAATCTTCCCAAGCTACTTGAATTGAAAAACCTTGAGCTCAGTGAGAGTAGGGTTTATGGAGGCCTGGACATGTTAGTGGAAAAACTTTCAAATCTCTCACACATCTTAAGTGGAAATAAACTGAAAGACATCAGCATTTTGGAACTTTTGAAAAAATTGGAGTATCTGAAAAGCCTGCAGGTCACTAACCTGAATGACTACGGAAAGTGTGTCTTTTTTTTTTTTTGGAGAGGTTTTCGCTATAGGGCGCATGCACTCGCCCGACAGACAGAGACAGAGAGCGAGAAAGCGAGAAATCACCCCCCAGGGGGGATGGCCATGCCGCAATCCCTTCTCCATTCTCCTCTTGGGATCTTGGGCACGCACGCACACGCACCCGGCGTGTGTTTAAGCCACTGGGTCTAGGACACGAACTGCGTTCAACTTCATGGGAGTCCAGCGACATAGCCATTGTGCTAACTGCTGGTCCCCTGAGAGTGTGTCTTTAGGTTCCTACCCCAGCTGACCTACCTGGACAGCTATGATTGAGAGAACCGGGAAACCCCCAACTCAGATGCTGAAGTAGTTAGTGTGGATGAAGAGGAGGAGGAAGGTGAGGATGAAGATGGAGGAAGGAAGAAGGAAGAGTTTGATGGAGAAAATAAAAAAAATGTGGATGTAGATGGGGAAGAAGATGAAGTTATTGGGGAGAAAGAAGAATTTGAATGTTACGAAGTTGGTGAAGATGAAGAGGAAGAAAGTGGGGTGAGCAGAGTAAGAGACAGATGATGAAGGATAAAATGATTAAGACCCCAAGTAACCTGCAACGACAGAATTGTTCAGTATTGGTTGGACTGCTCATGGATTTGTAGCTGTTTATTTGTAGCTGTTTTTTTTTTTTTTTTTTTTAAAGGTACCTATGATTCAAAACTAGTATACCCACCCACCCACTCAAAGAGTCAAAGGATAGTTCCAGTGACATTCCTTCTTCCTACATTTATTCCCTCTTAGTAATCCACCACCAAGGTTTGGGGACTTCACCCCAACAAAACTGTGTTAATTAGGTTTTCTGTAAGACATTTTTGGTGGCGTGAGAAGCTGTGATTGGTGAGTCAACTGTTTCTGGTTACTAATTACATTAAGATTGTAACAGCATTTTTACTTTACAACAAAGAAGTTTTGTAAATAAAATCTTAACATTTTTGGGTCTATTTTAAAAGTTTTTTGTTGTTATTACGTTAGAACATTTTACGTGACAACTGCCAAAAAAGTATTTTTAAGCATTTAAGTGAAATAAACACGTTACTCTTTTGTTAAAATAGTCTCAGTTTAAATTTTGAATACTATAAATATCAATTGATAAAACTTGCATTGGGGACCAACAGTTGGTGTAATGACTATGTTGGTGGAATTCCACATAGTCGACCAGGGTTCAAGTCCTGGATCCAGTGACTTAAAACTCACACCAGCCACATGTGTGTGCTGATCCTGAGAGGAGAATGGAAGAGAAGGGATTGCGGTGTGGCCATCTCCCCAGGGGAAGATTTCTCATTTTCTATCTCTCTGTCTGTTTCTGTCTTTCTGGTGAGTGCACATGCCCTATAGCAAAAACCTCTCCTAAATGAATG